CCCCAAAACCCCAAAACCCCAAAACCCCAAGAAGTGGCATAATAGACTTAGAAATATATTGATTTAGGTCTATAATAAATTAAACTTAAAATACATTAGCCAATAATAATGAGCATTCGAAGTTTTCTGTTTGTTAATTGTATCAGTTGCCTGGCGGTAAGGGAGAATGAAACCAACCAAAATTTTCATAAGGATGAACTGGCAGTGACAGTTAGTCGTTACTATGAAAGATGCATTTTTTTCTTATCTTCCATTATGATGGCTAATGCCATTGCTTCAATATCAATTCCGAGGAGTTTGCACAAATTTTACTCTAGATTTGCCTGCTCCTCGCGCTCATTTTAGTTTATTAGGACTTCGTGAAGTCTTAGTCTACTACTGTAGCCTCCGAATTCATCTGTTGAAGGGATCAAGAACTCACTTGCATCTCCCATTAATTCTTCACTGTTTTCTTAACTGATGTTGGAGACGGATTTCTTCACATTTTTGATAAAATCTCTCTCACTTTTGCTTAAGATTTTCTATCTTTTGCGAGTCTGGTCCCACCACCACTTATAAACTTAGGTCTCATTCATATCAAGCTTTTTAGATATCTGATTAATCTTTTCTCTACTCCATAAGAAATCTTTCTTGAGCTCAGTTCTCAAAAAGGATAGGTCACGCTCAGATTTTCTTTTGCGCTTTCCTAAAATCTTACTAGTCGATGTAAGTTCTGAACAGCTAGAGCTCTATGAATTTAGCTGTTAGAGCTAAGTCACATCATCGACGTGTTTTAGTTTCTTTTACTCTGGAACTAAATTCCTTAGTTACACTAATGATGATTCGTTTGTAGACTCATTAGGGGGTGAATGAGCTTGATTTCTCAAACTCTAGGTGATGAAGTTTTGAGTCGTTTGGTTTAGCAGAAATTGATTGAAGTAGCTGAGGCTGAGAATTGGCGAGGAGATTGGCATGGGTTTGTAAATGAAATTTTCTTTGGCAGCTTAGACCATAAGTTTCTAGGCCTTTTTAGGAGAAGGTACTCTGAAAGCTCCTGGCTGAGGCTGATGAGTAGCCGGGAAATGGATCTAAGTTGTTGATGTGATTGTTAAGTCTTAGTACTATTATCTTTGCATTAAATTAAATTTATTGTTAATTTTGAAAAGTTCGTCGCAATTTAAAGCCAAGATTTCTCAAAATTCCTGACCAGATTTTTATTATTTTAATCAATAAGAATTTCTAATTTACCTATCATAAAATCGATTCAACAGTTGAGGGGTTTTGGGGTTTTGGGGTTTTGGGG